GTACGGTGACCAGGCTTGAACGCAATACTCCAGATGTGGCCTGACCACTGCTTTATATAAGGGCAAGAATACTTCTGCTTTAGTGTTACTCAGCGCCCTCCTAAGACGAAATAATTCGTGTCGTGCTTTATTGGCAGCATGGCGACACTGTGCCGAAGGCTTAAAATTGTTCGCTACGATGACACCTAGATCAGATTCAGATTCAGATGGACTGGAACGATAGGAAAATCCCTTGAGTGTTCCTTCTTGAGCAAATCGTTGAGCCAGGAAATGATAAGGTGTTAGTTCTTGATAGATCTAAAACGAAACACCCGAAACACACCCTGATCAACCAACTACTGCCCACGTTCCCTGCACTAGCAGTCCGCGCTGTGTAGGTTACGTGAAGTAAGAAAGAAGTAGAAAGTAAATGAAAAGATAAAGGGGAATGAAAGTCATTAAAATGAAGGATAACACCAAAGAGTGAAGATAATGACAGTCAGTGCACCGCAATGATAGAAATCCCACAGGAGACTGAACTGCAATTCCGCTACCACTACTAGTCAATAGTTGACATTTGTTGGCATTTAGAGGTAGGTCCTATTGACTTGACCAATTCACCACAGTGAGGATGTCCTTAGCCAATGTCGCACGGTTTCCCCTACTGACCAGCTTCAAGTCATCTGCGAAGATGTAGCAGGGGTCCTCACAGTCGAGTTCGAGTCGTAGGTTGCGCTATACCTGTGACACACGTCGAGCACAATGGAAATAGACGTACGATAACAATTCCGAATATACTATCCGATTTTCAAGCAGACTGGACGGCACCGTACACACCCAGAAGTAGCACAGCCAGAAATCAGTACGACGGAACGCGGGGCGCGAAGAAGTGTATATTAAACATTAATTCAAACAAACTGTACAAAAGATGTCATGATATAATGGATGACAAGAAAGACAAAATGCAAATGATTAATAACCACTACATAACTCCCCCCGTAGAGCGTGAACTGGTAAGGTAACGCTCGATATAGCTATTTAGGGAACAAACTCAGCTAGTTTGGAGGGGAAAGACACAGAACGTCCTGAACGTGTGTGTTTTGGATCATTCGTTGGGCGAGCGCATGAAGGTTCTGGAGCATTGGAAGCGGTCGGTTGACCAACTGGGGGTAACGACTTGGGATCCGTCAAAGTAACGGCAGGCTCAACATAAGCGGGTTTAAGACGGTCAATACTCACAGATTCTTTCGATCCATTCCTTTCCAGTATGAAGTATTTATGTTTCCGTGACAACACTTTGAAAGGACCTTCATAAGGGGGTGTCAACGGCTTGCAAACTGCATCAATGCGAATGAAAACAAAAGGACAAGTGTGTAAGTCCGGATGAATTCGTTGTTCGCGGGCAGTGAAGCGAGCAGACGTAGGTCGAACTGTTCGGAAGTGTTGTTTGAGACGTTCGGCGTAGGACACAGGATCTATCTCACCAGTGACTCGGGAATCCAAAATCATCTCACCTGGAAGTCTGAGAGTGGTGCCAAAGACGAGTTCGGCAGGGCTGCATCCAATATCCTCTTTGACGGTATTACGGATACCAAGAAGGACAGCTGGGATGAGTTCAGACCAATGTGGATCAGGTGAATTAGCTGGTCACATGTTCGCCAGACCTTACTAGCAGCGGGCAAATATTCATTTGGTATGTCTAATCGTCAACATGGACATTGGGTCTCTTCACAGTCTTTGGAACTTATCGACGCTCGCCGGCATATCCCGGCTGGAAGCGAGCACAATGAAACTCGCAAAGAGCTGCGGGCAAAACTCCGCGCTAGCCTGAAGAGAGACTGCGAATCGTGGTGGTCTCACCGTGCGTCAGAGATGGAAGAAGCCGCTGCACTTGGCAACCATCGTAAGTTATTCCGTCTGATACGGGAAACGGGCAGCAGGAAACCTGGTGTTAGTAAAACAATTTGTGATGAGAGTGGACAGCCTATCCACAATTTGTCAAAACGTTTGGAGCGTTGGCCTGAGCATTTTGAAAAGCAATTTAACCGGCTAGAATTGTTCAATTCGCCAGCCAATGATCGCCCTACTCCGTGGGCTGTCCCTTTGGACCCACTCTCTTGCTCAGAAGTCGAACGTGAGATCGGACTGTTGAAGTTGAACAAAGCCGCGGGACCAGATGATCTTCCTCCAGCACTCTTCAAATTCGGAGGCTCTGTTCTTGTTGATGCTTTACATGAATTACTAGTGAAACTGTGGGAGCAGGAAACTGTCCCAACCGACTGGAGCCGCTCCGTTATTGTTCCCATCTTCAAAAGAGGTTCGCGCTGTGAATGCGGCGACCATAGAGGGATCAGTCTGATCTCCAAATTACTCGCCTCCATAATACTTCACAGAACGACTGGCGCTCGTGAAAGCCAGATTCGTGAGGAGCAAGCCGGGTTTCGTCGTGGTCGTGGCTGCATCGACCACGTCTTCATCTTGCGTCAGTTGTTGGAGCACCGCCACATATATTCGCGGCCCACCCTAGTCGTTTTCCTCGACATCAAATGTGCCTTCGATTCGGTTGATCGATGTGCCCTTTGGAATTGTTTACTCAGGAAAGGTGTGCCCGAGAAATATGTAAATATTAACCAAGCATTATATTTGCGTAGCACGGGCAGAGTGAGGGCTTACGGCAAGCTGTCGCCACCCTTCAATATCCCCAACGGTGTGAGACAAGGATGCCCGCTGTCACCTTTCCTCTTCAAATTCGCTGTTGATGAAGTCATGGAAATCTCGTTCACAGGACACGACTTGGAAGGTGTGGAGCTACTCCCAGGAGAACGACTTCTTGACTTAGAGTATACTGATAATATTGCCCTAATCTGTGACAGCTCCCAGACGTGCCAAGCGGCACTAGACAGATTAGAACTAACTGTCCGTCACTTCGGGCTTTGCTTTGCACCATCGAAGTGCAAAGCGTTCCTCCAAGATTGGTAGGGATCGCCTCCTGCGCTGACCGCTTGTGGGGATCAGCTAGAAATCGTTCAGAAATTCAATTACCTGGGAAGTTGTATCAGCGCCCTTGGGATCGAAGACGAGATCACGAACCGTATAGCAAAAGCTCGAGGCGGTTTTGCTAACCTTCGCCACCTATGTCGGCGGCGCGACATTAATCTCGCCCTGAAGAGTAGAGTGTACAATGCAGCGGTACGTTCGACCTTACTGTACGGTTGCGAAACCTGGCCCCTAAGGTCGGCGGACATGAAGAAGCTAGTTACGTTCGACCATCGGTGCCTTCGCAGTTTGGCTCACATCTGGTGGGAACACCGCGTGAGCAACGAGCGTGTTCGACGCCTTGTTTACGGCACAGGAAAAGGATCCGAACCGCTCAGCACCGTTATTTCACGCACCAGGCTCCGATGGCTCGGCCACGTGTTACGCATGCCAGCCCACCGACTCCCTCGACGTGCGTTGTTTACTCACCGGGGATGTGGGTGGAAGAAGAGGAGAGGTGGCCAAGCGATGACTTGGTCCAGGGGAATGAAGTCCCTCACTTCGGAGCCAGCCTTCGTTGGAGCGTCACGGCTCCCTGGTTGGGGTCCAAAAGACGGTGAACACGTTTGGCTGGATACACTTGCTGACATGGCAAGGAGCCGACCTCAGTGGCGTTTGTGCTGTGAGTTTCTTTGTCCCTCCCCATCCCTTTTAGCCTCCCCCTCCATCTACGATCTCATTTCCTTGGGTAAAACATAATAAAAAATTTTTCTTAGTAGCTTGCTGGAAGCTTACCGGAACGATGCCCATCCGTTGCTGGTAGCTCAGCTGACATGCAACTGTTGTATCTATTTTTCCTTTGTGTATTGTATTATACGTATGTATGTCATGCCCCATGCTGAGGCTGATGTTGCATTCATGATGCTTCTTCACCGCAGTTGGGCTAAACCAACTTACACTTAAACTAGGTCTTTTTAATGTGGATAAATTTCGTTACATGTTATTTGGTTTGTTCTGCGTACTTGATAATGTTCTCCTTACTTGCACACGTCGCTCACGCAAATTGTGGTAAACTTGCGTAATTTTATCGCGTGGTATTTTTAAAATAACTTTCGGACATTTTGTACTTATCACGGATTCACTTATAACCAATTTCTTCTATATGCTCATTTAGCAAGTATTTATGTCGTCATATGCGTTTACTTTAATCGATATCGGCATTTCGAATGATTGGCTGTTGTTTGACACCCCAGGTGTGGCTGCGCTTGATGTGCATGTTGACAAGGTGCCTACCTGTCTATTACCCACTACCTCGTCCATACTGGCTCCAGGAGGCAGTTGGTCGTTGCTGGAGGGGACGGGGTGCACGGTCCTTGTGGTCGTTTTAGGCTCAAAGAGTGGTTCCATGCACTCAGTGTGGAGCGGACTACGGTCCAGCCACCGCCTTGTGTGCGCTTGATTCCCAAATACAGTGTGCTTGTTTTTGTCTGTGAAGGAGTGTGGGCCGGCTCCGTTGATGAAACGTGGCTCCCATCCGCATGCCTCCTGGTCTTATTCCTTTGGGTTTACACTGGATATGGGGTGTGTGGATGGAGCTGTGGGTGGTGCAGCGCAAGCCATCCATGGTCCCTCTGTAGGCGCAGGCGTCCTGTGGCTGACCACAGTGACAGGCAAATCCGAAACCGGATGCCGCCAACCATGTATGTATTTGGAGGTGAACCCGAAGGAATAAGACCGGGAGGCATGCGGATGGGAACCACGTTTCATCAACGGAGCCGGCCCACACTCCTTCACAGGCAAACACAAGCACACTGTATTTGGGAATCAAGCGCACACAAGGCGGTGGCTGGACCGTAGTCTGCTCCACACTGACTGCATGGAACCACTGGATATGGGGTGTGTGGTTGGAGCTGTGGGTGGTGCTGCGCAAGCCATCCATGGTCCCTCTGTAGGCGCAGGCGTCCTGTGGCTTGCCACAGTGACAGGCAAATCCGAAACCGGATGCCGCCAACCATTTGGAGGTGAATGGAATCAGTTTCGAAGAGATGAGTAACGATGATGCGGTTGGGACACTTCGTGAACAGGTGCAGCGCCCGGGCCCTATAACCTTAGTTGTAGCGAAATGCTGGGATCCCATTCCCAGAGGCCGCTACTTTACGATTCCTCGGCAAGAACCAGTCCGCCCCATTGACCCCCGTGCCTGGGTCTTACACACCAACGCCATGACATCTGTTACAGTGGGGAATGACCCTCAGTTGATGCTTAACGGGTCTCCTATGACCGGCCCTTCTTCCGGGGGGGAATCTAGCTCGACACTGAGCCCGTCTGGAGCCGCTGACCTCACCCCAGACATGAGTATGGGCATTCTCACGTCGGGCCAAACTTCAATGCCTTTGGGTACGAGCGCGGCTGCTTACAATATGGCTGCGCTGCTAGCCGCCTCTCAGCAACAGCAACGGAACCGGAGAGACTCCCATCAGCCTCCAATGCAGCAACTCCCTCCATCCCATTCGCAGCTGCCTCATCCAAACTTCTATCCCATTCTTAACATGATGTTACCCCAGGGATACACTCAACAAGTATGTGGTGCATGTTCCAGTTGTTGGCGTCACTCTCATCATGCTCTTCTTCTGTCTTGTCACATTGGTCAAAATTCAAGCGTCCTTCCATTTCTGTCTCCACATTGTGTTTGTTCTGTGCACAGTCTGGAAATGACGTTTTATGCTCCTCCCTCTAAGCTGGTGCCAATGGTCATTTAGTGACTCATTTGGTAATAAACGCCTCACTGCTAACATGTGTCAACGGTCCGCACAGTTGCTCTCACACTCGTTTGCTTTCGACACATCGATTTACTGACAGCAGTTGGCGCACCGATTCTCAGCAAAGTTTGACAACTATCAGCTGTTAACTTTTTTGAGCATCTTTTTGCTCTTAACACATTCGTTTTACCAGGCTAAGGGTAAAACATAATAATTTTTTTCTTTTTGTTTAGTAGCTGGCTGAAAGCTTACCGGAACGATGCCTTTCCGTTGCTGGTAGCTCAGCTGGCATGCAACTGTCGTATCCATTTTTCCTTTGTGTATTGTATTATGTGTATGTATGTATGGGTTTCGCCCTTCTCCCTGCTAAGATCCAGGACACCAATCCGCATGAGTCGGCTAACTGACCATGTGCTAGACCCGCTGCCTTTCGGGTGTTCATTTAATCGAAGGCTTTGGCTGAGGATCCGAGTCGTTCTCCTGTCAGGTGTGGGCGCCCTGGCAGTATGCTACTCCATCCTCTTCGGAGGTTAGGAATTGGTCGATGACCCTCTTCCCGTAAAACCTAGCCATGGGAGACAACAGGTTTACGTGTTATAAGCTCACAGCTCGATTGGCGTAGAGCACGAGTGCCACGCATTGTCTCTGACGGTGGGAGGACACCTCCGGGTTTTCAATGGTTTGCTACTGCCCGCCTCAATCCAGGCAGCCCCTGGTCAAATTGGTGCAAACCCGCCAAAAACCCACCTGCGTCTGGCCGTGGTCGCAAGTGCGTATCCTACTACGGTCGCAAAACATATAATAATTGTTCCAGTACCTCCAAGGCTGCGTGTGACGGCCGTCAAGCAGATCCCCATCTGTCTCTGCAATCACATTCCCGAGCTGGATCTGCTCCCCACTGCTTTGTGGGTCAGGCTATTGAGCCAAAGGCTCCGGGCAGAGTCCCTCAAGCAAACCCCCAAACCACCCACTGCCTTGTGGGTCAGGCTGTTGAGCCAAAGGCTCCGGGTGGAGTCCCTCAAACAAATCTCCAAACCACCCACTGCCTTGTGGGTCAGGCTGTTGAGCCAAAGGCTCCGGGTGGAGTCCCTCAAGCAAACCTCCGAAGCACAACGACCACCTCGCGTGCGATTGCCCACTAATGCAATCGTATGCCTGCGCTCAAAGCAGTCAGCATCGGGTGCTGGAACGTGCGCACACTACTGGACCATCATCATCATCATCATCATACACGTTAGCTAGAGGTGGGAAACACCTCAGCTACTGTGCCGCAATACAAAGAAAAAAGGAAAGAGAAAAAAAACTGGTGAAAGCTGGCTGAGCTACCGATAACGGATGGGCATCGTTCCGGTAAGCTACCAGCCGGCTGCTGTGCACCCAAAAAAAATTATTATGCAAAATTATATAAGGCTAAGTAATGAGATCGTGGTTGGAGGGGGAGGCTAAGAGGGATGGGGTGGGACAAAGAAACTCACAGCACGAACGCCACTGAGGTCGGCTCCAAGCCAAATCAGCAAGTGTGTCCAACCAAACGTGTTCATCGTCTTTCGGACCCCAACCAGGGAGCCGAGATGCTCCAACCGAGGCCAGCTTCGAAGTGAGGGTCTTCATTCCTCTAGACCAAGTCATCGCTTGGCCACCCCTCCTCTTCTTCCATCCACACCCCCGGCGCGCAAACAACACACGTCGCGGAAGTCGGTGGGCTGGCATGCGTAACACGTGGCCGAGCCATCGGAGCCTGATGCGTGAAATAACGGTGCTGAGCGGTTCAGTTCCTTTTCCTGTGCCATAAACAAGGCGTCGAACACGCTCGTTACTCACGCGGTGTTCCCACCAAACGTGAGCTAAATTACGAAGGCACCGGTGGTCGAACGTAACTAGCCTCTTCAGGTCCGCTGCTTTAAGCGGCCAGGTTTCACAACCGTACAATAGGGTCGAACGTACTGCTGCATTGTACACTCTGCCCTTCAGGGCAAGAGTGATGTCGCGCCGGCGCCATAAGTGGCGAAGGTTAGCAAAAGCGCCCCGAGCTTTTGCTATACGATTCGTGATTTCATCTTCAATCCCACGGGCGCTGATACAACTTCCCAGGTAGTTGAATTTTTGAACGACTTCTAGCTGATCCCCACCAAGGGTCAGCGTAGGAGGCGGTCCAGACCAATCTTGGAGAAACGCTTTGCACTTCGAGGGTGCGAAGCAAAGCCCGAAGTGACGGACAGCTAGTGCTAATCTGTCCAGTGCCGCTTGGCACGTTTGTGAGCTGTCACAGATCAGGGCAATATCATCAGCATACTCTAAATCAAGAAGTCGTTCTCCTGGGAGTAGCTCCACACCTTCCAAGTCGTGTCCTGTGAACGCGATTTCCATGACTTCGTCAACAGCGAAGTTGAAGAGGAAAGGTGACAGCGGGCATCCTTGTCTCACGCCGCTGGAGATATTAAAGGGCGACGACAACTTGCCGTAAGCCCTCACTCTGCCCGAGCTACGCGCATATAATGCTCGGATAATATTCACATATTTCTCAGGTACACCTTTCCTGAGTAGACAGTCCCAAAGTGCATGTCTATCCACCGAATCGAATGCACCTTTGATATCGAGGAACACGACAACGGTGGGCCGCCAATATATGTGACGGTGCTCCAACAACTGACGCAAGGTGAAGATGTGGTCAATGCAGCTACGACCTCGACGAAATCCAGCTTGCTCTTCACGAATCTGGATTTCACGAGTGCCAGTTAGTCTGTGAGGGATGACAGAGGCAAGCAATTTGGAGGCGATGGAGATCAGACTGATTCCTCTATGGCTGCCGCATTCCGATCGTGAGCCTCCTTTGAAAATTGGGACTATGATGGAGCGGCTCCAATCGGTTGGGACAGTTTCCTGCTCCCACAGTCTCACTAGTAACTCGTGTAAATAATCCACAAGAGCAGGTCCCCCGAATTTGAAAAGGGCTGGAGGAAGGTCATCAGGTCCCGCGGCTTTATTTAACTTCAACATTTTGATCTCATGTTCGACTTCTGAGCGAGAGGGTGGATCCAAAGGAACAGCCCACGGAACAGGGCGATCACTGGTCGGCGAGAAATCTAACAATTCCGACCGATTAAATTGCCTTTCAAAGTGCTCAGCCCAACGTTCCAGGCGTTTTGATAAATTGCGGATGGGCTGTCCACTCTCGTCACGTATAATTTCACTAACACCAGGTCTCCTGCTGCCCGTTTCCCGTATAAGACGGAATAACTCACGATGGTTACCAAGGGCAGCGGCCATTTCCATCTCTGTTGCACGACGAGACCACCAGGATTCGCGGTCTCTCTTCAGGCTAGCATGGAGTTTTGCCCGGAGCTCTTTGCGAGTTTCATTGTGTTCGCTTCCAGCCGGAATATGCCGGCGAGCATCTATAAGTTCCAAAGACTGTGAAGAGACCCAATGTTCATGTTGGCGATTAGACATACCACATGAGGATTTGCCTGCTGCTAGTAAGGCCTGTTGCATATGAGACCAGTGAGCTTCAATTGCATCCAGTGAGCGTTTATCCAACTCGGATGACAGTGTAATTTGATAGGCATTCAGAACAGCTGGATTCACCAGTCTGCCGGTGTCAATGCGCTCACAACATCGTCGCTGGCGTCCGCCAAAGCGCATCCGCAGGTCAGCACATACAAGTGCATGATCGGTGTCAACACCTGTGCTCCAAATCGAGCGACAGTTCTGGACGCAGCCTCTCCAGCGGTAACTGATAGCAATGTGATCGATTTGCGTCCATAGCTGGTTCGAGGCTGGTGGGCGCCAAGTCACCCTCCGGCGGGTGCTGTGTCGGAAATTAGTGCTCGCAAGAAATAAGCGAGCATCCTCACACAAATGAAGTAACCGCTCACCGTTATCATTACGGGAGCCTATACCATGTTGGCCGCCCAGATGCAGCTCATTTGCGGATAATTTTCCAACTTGAGCGTTCAGATCCCCAGCCAGCACTACAGTGTCCGAGCTTCTTCTGTTGCGAAGGAGTTCGTTCAGTTGGCGATAGAAGTCGTCTTTTACCGAGTCATCGCTACAGTTTGTCGGTGCATAGGCAGCGATAACGAATAGACACCGCGCGACTTCGAAGCTTTGAACGAGCCAGCCAATCGGACCGCACACATCCGGCTACTGATTGGAATCCAATCAACCAGAGCAGCCTCAGCCCGGGGACTCAGGGCAATACCAACACCGGCTTGGCCGGTGCTCTAAGCTGCATCGTCACCGGATAGGCGCAATGAGAAAGTGCTGCTAGTGTCACCTGAAGGGGATCGCAGAGTGAGTACAGAGCTCGAGTCTTGCAGGCGGGTCTCCGATAAGCAGCAGATATCGATCGAGAGGGTCTCCAATGTTCGGGCAAGTGCTGCCTGTTGACCAATCTGAAGCAATGTGCGAACATTGAGGCATGCCAGTCTGAAGGAGGATCGAGGGCTCCAAATGGAAGCCGATGAACTGGAATGGGCCGCTTGCTTGGACATGGGCCTGTTGACAGTGCAGGAATGACGCTCTGCGTTCACCTGTGAGTTGAAACTAAAAGACAAGCGACTATTGAAGCAAGGTGGGGAGGGCCGAGAATTGGGGGGTTGAAAACAGGGGGGATAAAAGTAAAGCTGGAACAGGACGATAAGGGTGAAAAAGCGCAAGAAGGGGAATAAGAAGATGGGAAGGCCTGAGCAGTAGCATCCAAACCCCTATCCACCCTGCTCGATGCAGCAGATAGGGCACCGTTGATTATCCTCTGCGGTGGCCAGAGCATCAGAAATTTGTTTGGGAAGGATTCATTGTATTGCGTGAGCAGGATACTGTCAGGTTGCCCAGGCCTAGACAGGAGAACGATTAGGGTTCTCAACCAAAGCCTTTGGTTCAAAAACCTGACCGCAAGGCAGCGGGTTTGGCACTGGACTACAAGGAGTCCGTTTTAAGGAATAAGGAGCCAACCTCATTCCAACCCCCAACCTGGAGGACCAGGAGGCTGAGTTTGTCTG